TTTTTTTTTTTTGCCTTTTATGACATTGACCTATTTGAAGCAGAAGTCTCCACATTTTAAGTTTACCTTTACTTGCTTCCATCCTCACCTTTTCCAGTTTCTACTATTAGAAAAATGCCATAATCCTTCCTTTTTAAGTTTCTGGTACTCTTTCCCTCCCTCCCTCCCTTCAGAGGCAAGTTCCTTTGGGGGTTGGGGGGAGAAAGTCACTCACTTTCTTGTTTCCCAGGTTGCCATTATTAACCTGTTGAAATCATATTTCTGCCTCCTCACTCCAACAACATTGCTTTCACTGAGGCCACAAATGGCTTTCTAAACGCCAAGATCGAAGGACTTTTTTTCAGTTATTACCTTATCTGAACTCTCTGCAGCAGCTGCTGTTGCTACCCCACTATCTCCCACAAGTGTACTCAAACCTTAACGTAATTCTCTCGTTCTCTTCCCAAGTGCTGGTATCCACCACAGTTATCCTCGACCTTCTTATTCCCTCCAACGCTTCGACCACCAGCTATTAGTGATTCCCAAATCTCTTCTCCAGCCTACGACTCTCTCCAGGGTTCAAGACCCATTTATCTACCTGCCTACCAGACACAATGATCCAAGTTTCCCATAGCTCCCTATACGTAATGTGTCAATAACCGAACTTACTGTTTTTCTCCTTTAACCCATTTCTCCTACTGCACTCCTTTTCTTAATGGAAACACTAATCCTCCAAATTTAAAAACTATTCTCCTCCTACCTCATTCCCATCAATGAAACTATCACTAAGTCCTCTCGATTCAGCCTCCTATATAATTCTCACATTCATCCCCTCCTCTCTACCTCTACATTAACGGCACAGTTAAGGCCCTCAACGTCTTTCCTAGGGACCAACACAAAGGGTAGTTCATTTCTATACTTCCAGTTCTCCTCTTCCCCAATCCATCCTCTACCTTGTCCAGTTTTTTATTTTTTACTTTATTTTTATTTTTTGAGACAGGATCTCACTCTTTGCTCAGGTTGGAGCGCAGTTACACAATCTCAGCTCACTGTAACCTCTGTCTCCTGACTTCAAGAGATTCTCGTGCCTCAGCCTCCCGAGCAGCTGGGAGTACAGGCGCATGCCACCACACCCAGCTAAATTTTGTATTTTTTTGGTAGACACTGGGTTTCACCATGTTGGTGAGACTCCTGACCTCAAGTGATCCGCTCACCTTAGCCTCCCAAAGTGTTGGCATTACAGGCGTGAGCCACCACACTCGGACACTTATTTTTTTGAAACACAAATTGGTTCATGCTAAGCACCTTCCAACACTCTCCACCCTCTGCAGGAGCAGTTTAGCATGACAACTAAGAACACAGATACTGGAGTTGGAAAAAGCTGGATGCAAATTCTAGATTTTACCACTTAGTGTGTGGCCAGGAGACACTACTTATCCCCTCTAAGCCTCAGAGTTCTCATGTATAAAATGGGGATAATTATTTCTACCCCACAATGTTTTAAGAGAATTATAAAATGATGTAACACCTTTGTTCCAATAGCCAGACAAATTAAATACCTAATAACAATTATTTTAAGATAAAGTCCCAAGTCAAGCACGGTGGCTCATGCCTGTAATCCTAACACCAGGAGGCTGAGGTGGGAGGACTGCTTGAGCCCAGGAGTTCAAGACCAGCCTGGGCAACATAGCAAGACTTTGACTCTACAAAAAAAAATAAAAATAAAAATTGGCCAAGTGTGGTGGTGCACGCCTGCAGACCCAGCTACTCGGGAAGCAGAGGTGGGAGGGTAGCTTGAGCCCAGGAGTTCAAGGCTGCAGTGAACCATAATCACACCACTGCACTCCAACCTGGCTGATGGAGTGAGATTCTTTTTAAAGATAAAGTCCAAATTACTTACCATTGCCCTTTATGATCTGGTCACTGCCTACCTGTTCAGTTTCACTTCCCATCAATCCTTCTTCACATTCTACACTGTTACATGGTTTCATATCTTTTTGCTTTTGCATATACAATTTCCTCTGCCTAAAAAGCCTCATCTCCAGTGCTCTGTCCAATAAGTGAACTCTTTAAGACGCTGACCTCAGTTTTTGTACTATGAACCTCTAGGGCTTTGTATTACATCTATTTTCCTGTCTACCTCCCACCCTAAATAGTGTTTCTTGAAAGCAGAGATAAATGGAGAAAACACAAAAAACTAAGAACAGACATGGGAATTCACCTCAGATGTCGAATCAGATCAATGTTGAACAAATTTATAGAAAGGACCTAAAGTTATCATTCTGAACTAACTGAATGTAACTCATGGTTCATGGTTTATTCACGTTTTATTCTTTTATTCCTTTTTAAAAATGCAGAGGTCCGGAGGCTGAGGCAGGAGAATGGGGTGAACCGGGGAGGCGGAGCTTGCAGTGAGCCGAGGTCGCCACTTCACTCCAGCCTGGGCGACAGTGCGAGACTCCGTCTCAAAAAAAAAAAAAAACAAAACGCAGAGGTAACATCAATGTGATGAGGGTTTAACGTTAGCAGGTTAGCAATCTAGCATTTGGACATTGTTTTTGGTTTGTGGAGTAGCTGTCGAGGAACACGTATTCAAAGCAGGTCTTGAAAAATGCTTCAGTCCAAGGCAGAAAAGGTCTGACAGAGAAACAGGACCTCTTTCTGGTACGCAAGTTGGGCTATTTGAACCTTTAGTCAACACTTCAATGTAGCAGAATTGGATTTATTAGTTTTTATTTTAAAGGCATGTTGTTCCCTAGAGGGAAATTTTGACAACTCAAATTCAAATAAACGAATTTGTTAAGGGAGAGACGTCTATAGAAGATTCCACCACAGGAACTACCAAATGAGCAATCAGAAAAGCCAGAATACTAAGTATCTGGAAGTAGTCTCTGTTATAAAGTGATTGATGACTAAATACTTTAAAAGAAACATATTTGCGAATACTATGGCTATGAGGGCTCTGAGACTAGAAAAAGTGTGGCCTGCACAGTTAACAGTCATAAAATACTACAAAACATGACGCAGGCAAATTTCCTTCTACTAAGAGGTGATTACAAACAACTATTTTACTGGTGTCAATAAACCAAGTCTCATTTCTTTCTGAAATCCAAGATGCCAGGTTTATCACATACCAAGTACAGGCTTGAAGAAAAAAAAATATTCCCTCTAAAAATTATTAGAAAAACACCTTTCAGAAGGGGGTGGGGAATCTACTCTTAATTTCTTAAAAATTCCGTCAAAAGGGCAGAAATCTGGACTTCATTAGCAACGCTCAAGTTTTGGACACTGCTGTGATGCCTGAGAAGCAAGTGCAAGCAAGGTAGACCTCGTTTTGCTCTCCCCGGCATGGTCAAGGAAAGTGACAGATGTCTTAAGGGAGTCGACCCCGCGGGAGCTGCCAGGGGATGCTGTCAGTCTACAAAACTGGAGAGGCTCAGAAAAGGGATCAGCGCTGGTTTAGAGGGTGGTAGCAGCGGCGAGGAGCGGCTGCGCGAGGATGTCAGAGACGGGCGCGGCGGCGAGGCTGTCACAGGGCGGCCTCCCCCCACCCAGCCTCGGGCCCCAGTCACTCACTTGCGGGGCTCGCGCCCCCTCGGGCTCCTCCCGCCTCGCGGACAGCTGCCGCCGGGCAAGGAGGATGGGCAACTTCCTGTTTCCGGGAGCGCGACCCGGAAGCAACCCCCACTCCATGGGCGAGGCCTTGTCCCTACAGTAGTTTCTCCTCTCGTCCAGCGCTTCCGCCCAAAACGGAACACTCAGCGTCGTGGCGAGCGCGGGAGCTCTCGCGATATCTGGAGAGTGCAGGTTATTGCTCCCCCTGGCGTCCTTCTCCCGATCGGGCTCTTTTCGCCCTAGTCCTAAATCCTTGTCTCCCTTATTTACCTGGACTGACACACAGACTTCATAACTGAACTGACCCATTGAACGAGCATTTACTGAGTCCCGTACTATGTGCCAGGCACTGTGTTAGGCATTAAGGGATGGGAGTGGAAGGGAAACGTAAATGAAGAGCAGCCCCTTCCTTCTGGAAGTTCCTACTCTTGAGAAAGACAAACAAATCCCTCCAATTTACACTCAGCCCAGTCATTACTGAGAGCTTACTCTGTTGATGAAAACTTCAGGCGAATTAAGTTTAAAGGAGTTTAATTGAGCAATGAAAAATTCGCGAATCAGGCAACTCCCAGAATTGCAGCAGATTCACAGACTACCAGGGTGCCTCATGGTCAGAACAAATTTATAGACAAAAAAAAGGCAAAGGGAGGTACAGGAATCGGAAGTAGGGTACAGAAACAGTGAGATTGGTTATAGCTCAGTGTTTGCCTTCTTTGAACGCAGTTTGAACATTCAGCAGGCTGTGAGTGGTTGAAGTATGGCCACTGAGATTGGCCACTACTCAGTTATTATTACAGATGTATGCTATTAGGTTAGGTTTTCAATTTTGTTTGACTATTAAGCTACGTTACAGTTCATCTACAAGGACTTAAATATAGAAGGACAGAGTCCTTCTTAGGCCATACTTAGTTTGCGTTAACAATTCCCCTGTTTTGGTCATTTTCTCAATTTTGAGAGATTGACCAAAACCTTAGTCACTGATGTTATCACTGTCATAAGTGTACCTATATGGTTTTGAAACTCACTAGGAAACAGTAGAACAGTGGGTTTTGCAGGGAGAGAATAAGGACTGAGTAGAGGATACCTCCTTATGCTGGAACATCCTGTTTACAGGAGAAAAACAAAACCTGGTCTGTTTTAGCATTTATGTGTTTTTTTAAAGCCTTTGTTTGATTATGTCACATTTAGCATGAGTGACTCCATTTTAGTTTGGTTTGGTTTGTTGGGGCCTAGTGCATGAGCTCAGTCCAAAATAATGGCCTCCCATAATTTTGTTTAAAAAAAATTTCCCACTTTTGGCCAGGTTCTTACTTAGGTGACAGTGTGACCAGAACTTAGGGCCTTAGGACCACTCTCAGTTACCACCATTTTGGGTTTCTGGTCTCAGCATGTCATTCATAGGTTACGGTGCCCTCATGGCCACACATTTCTTTCAGTTTTCGTTATTCCAGTTGAAGAGAGACCATTTGACATTCTAGAGATGGCTGCATGGAAGCATTTAAAACCTTTGAGAGAATACAGTGCACCAGGGAGACTATTATGATTATTGGGTGGATAATAGCAAGAGTTAGGAGTATGCTCCTTACCCAGGGTCCCCATAAGCCAAACCACCTAAAATTAAATAGATAAAAGAATGAGCTAGATGAAGAGTCTACTTCCTTGACTAAGTGGTCTTTTCACTAATCCCCTACAACTGAATATTTATTTTTATTGTATTTACTTTTTGAGAGGGAGTCTCGCTCTGTCACCAAGGCTGGAATGCAGCAGTGTGATCTCAGCTCACTGCAACCTCCGCCTCCTGGGTTCAAGTGATTCTTCCACCTCAGCCTCTTGAGTAGCTGAGATTACAGGCACCTGCCACCGCGCCAGGCTAATTTTTGTATTTTTAGTAGAGACAGGGTTTTGCCATGTTGGCCAGACTGGTCTTGAACTCCTGACCTCAGGGGATCCACCCACCTCTGCCTCCCAAAGTGCTGAGGTTACGGGCATGAGCCAGCATGCCTGGCCAGAATTGTTTATAATTTACATTTGCTTTTTTCTCCATAGGCCACAAGTGTCAGCAGCTGCACAGGTACTTCTCTGTTTAGCCAATTCTATTATTTAGTATAACTTTCACAGGAGAATTTAAAATCTGTTGTATAATGATAGCCTTTAAAGTAGAATTTGCTGTAGAGCCTATTATGAGGGAGATATTTCAAATTATTGCCTCTTTTATTCTAAACCATGGAAAAAGGACCTAACAAATGATGTCTTTCTAGAAGAGTGAAGGCCTCTTGTCAATGTTCTCTTTAATTCATGATGTGGGTTAAGAGGAGTTTTGACTGGTTATAAGGCAATATATGTGCCACTAAAGTTTGTTACCTACTTGGGCCTTCATCTTTTATCTATTGAAGTATAAGGTTATTCATGTTTAAGGCTGGTTGCAAAATCCTTCACAAATAAAAGTATACCCTGTAAGTGCATATAATAGACCCCCTTTTAATTTCTATTGTTCATAGAGGCATAAACAAGGAAAAAATATTCAAAGATAAGAGTTTTGTGATAGTAGAAGTTTTGATCTATGATCTTGGAAAAGCTCTTCACATCAAGGATGCCATCTTCTTCTGGGGAGAAACTTTTCTGGTTAGTTTTACCTTAAGGATTCCAATGGGTGCACAGTTCCAGGAGTGTGGAGGGACCCTTCTCAGTTGTGAGATTATGAACCCAAGGTTTAAAGCTCCAAAGTTTTGCTGTAGTGTGGATGGCAAGGACAGTCTTTCTCTTTCTCTGGTGTTCTCAGACGATCCAATCTGCAGGTTCTAGATTGGGAAGGGATTGTTCTCAGTGAATCATAAAAAGTTTTCTTTGCCTGGTGAAAATACACTATAATCTACATCAGCCCTGTTGCATGGGAAAGCTTTTATACAACCAGAAAACATGCATTGAAAATGACAATTGAATGAAATCCCTTTATAAATGTTTAAATGGCCCATCAGGTAGCCAAATGCATCTGAAGCTTTGATGGTCTTTCCAGGAATATGGAACCAAACACTGGATTTAAACTGTTTCTGCAATGTATAAGTCACCACATCAATATATTAAATTTGGATTATTTTATCTTTTCCGGAACCTTTAATAAAAGCTTTAAGGACTCAAGAAGGACAAGGTGGCTGTCCTGGTTCTTCATGAGTCCATGCTTAACACTGGACTTATGTCCTCTTGAATACCAGTTGTTTCTCCAATTTAGGTGTATAGCACTGATAAGTAATGGGTTATCATAGGTAATTTGACTTAGATCATGGAGTTCATTCAAATTGTATATTTAAACAATTTTAGTATTGGCTGATTTAGCACGATAATCTAGAGCTTGATTTTGAAAGGTCTGTTAAATACCAAAGGTTTAAAACACTGGATATTACAAAATAGAATCTTAGGTTACTGGCCAGGCGTGGTGCCTCAAGCCTGTAATCCCAGCACTTTGGGAGCCCGAGACGGGCGGATCACGAGGTCAGGAG